ATCTCGCTCCTGGAAGATGGTGATGGGATTTCCATTGATGACAAGCTTCCCGTTCTCAGCCTTGACAGTGCCATGGAATTTGCCATGGGTGGAATCATACTGGAACATGTAGACCATGTAGTTGAGGTCAATGAAGGGATCATTGATGGCGACGACATCCACTTTACCAGAGTTAAAAGCAGCTCTGGTGACCAGGCGCCCGATATGACCAAATCCGTTGACTCCGACCTTCACCTTCCCCATGGTGTCTCAGGGATGTGGCTGGCGATGGGAGACAAGATGCGGCTGTCTGTCGAACAGGAGGAGCAGAGAGCCTAGATATAGTTTCTTAATCAAACTGGATTCTTTTTATGACTGCTTATATATTATTCAGAAAAAGACTTCTTGAGAAAACTCATTTTGAATTGAGTCTTAAAAAGTGGGGAGTGTAGAAGCGATATTAAAACATTTGGAAAAGAAAAAAGGAAGGAAGAAGAAAAACAGAGAACCTGAGGAACTCAGAGTGCTCTGGGCAAGGGAGACAGTACTGCATTATCAAAAACGGTATCTTAGGAATAGGTGTAAAAATGATTAGATAGTGTTGGCCTTGTTGGGAAAGTCTTTTTCCTCTTCTTCCCAAATTTGATGACAGGGATATTAGATTTTTTTTTTGGAGATGGAGTTTCACTCCTCTTGCCCAGGCTGGAGTGCAATGGCGCTATCTTGGCTCACTGCAACCTCTGCCTCCCGGGTTCAAGAAATTCTGCCTCAGCCTCTTGAATAGCTGGGATTGCAGGCAACCACCACCATACCCAGCTAATTTGTTTTTTGTTTTTTTTTTTGAAGAGATGGGATTTTACCATGTTAGCCAGGCTGGTCTTGAACTCCTGACCACAAGTGATCTGCCAGCCTCGGCCTTCCAAAGTGCTGAGATTACAGGCATGAGCCACTATGTGTGGTCTCAAACATGTTTTAATTGTTTCTTGAAATATTTTCTGATGGATGCTTTCAAATCTTTGTTAGACAATTTTAACTTGTCATCTCAGCATTGGCATCTATTGCCTTTTTTATTCAGCTTGAGATCTCCCTGGGTTTTGATATCATGAGTGATTTTTAAATTGAAATCTGGTATCATGAGTGAGTTTTGATTGAAATCTGGACATTTGGGTATTATGATATTTTGGATAATATTTAAACATTTTATTTATTTATTTATTATTTTTTTTAGATGGAGTTTCGCTCTTGTTACCCAGGCTGGAGTGCAATGGCGTGATCTCAGCTCACTGCAACCTCCGCCTCCTGGGTTCAGGCAATTCTCCTGCCTCAGCTGCCTGAGTAGCTGGGATTACAGGCATGGGCCACCGTGCCCAGCTAATTTTTTGTATTTTTAGTAGAGATGGCTCATGCCTGTAATCCTAGCACTTTGGGAGGCCGAGGTGGGTGCATCACAAGGTCAAGAGATCGAGACCACCCTGGTCAACATGGTAAACATTTTATTTTAACTAGCATTTCTTGACGCTGCTCTGGCAGTGGGCATCAACTTCTAAAATGGCAAGTGGTGGTAAAAGTCTAGGTTCCCTATTCCACACCTGTTGACACCAAGGGTGGTTCCTTGTTATTGCTGGGCAATGGTTGGAGTTTCAGTGCCCCACTAGTTTTCCACTGATACTTCCCTAGCTGAAAGGGCTTTGGAATGCCTCCTTACTGCCCCCATGTAGCCTCCACTGACACCATAGAGGAGAAGGGGTAACGTCTTTACCACTAGGCAGTGATGAACGCTCTGACTCTCCAATATGCCTTTAATTACACCATCTAAGCAGGGAAAGGGAGGGGTACCTCATCACTGTAAGGTAGGAATGGAAGTCCAGGCTCGCCCTGTGGTTTCCAGTGCCACTGATGGTAGAGAAGGATATGCATGGAGGAGTACTTGGTTCTGCTCAGTTGAAGATGAAAGTCCCACCCCTCCCTTTGCTTTTCTCTGACATCACCTTGGAGGGATGGAGGAGTAGAGTGATTGGAGTGTTAGGATGTGGGGGTGTCTCATCACAACCTGGAGAGGGTGGAAGTCTTAGGGTCAGTGTGTGTTATGGGATAGGGTCAGTGTGTGTGTGTGTGTGTGTGTGTGTGTGTGTGTGTGTATTGTTTGTCAACAGCAGAGTGATTATCTTCTAAATGTTTTCTTTCTTGATAGGCTGCTGCTTTTTTATCATTTGGCTAGAAAGAGCAGCCTTTTATTAGGGCACTTTTTGTCTATGCCTCTTGGGATTTTTGGGGTTTCTGGTTTTTGGCTTCTCCATCACCCAGTTTGGGATATATAAGGCTACATGAAAACCCAAGGAACTTCCCACCATGTTCCTCTCTGGACCCTAGCCAGTGTGACTTCTCTTCACCTTTCAACGTCTTCCTATGTTTATCTTATATATAATGTCAAGTTTTTAGCTGTACTTAGAATAATAGGTAGAAATGTATCTACTCCATCTTCCTGGAAGCAGAAGTCAGGGGCCACTATAAGGCCCTGAAACAATTTCAAACAAAAATGCTTGGCAAAGACTCAGGGAGAAGTGGCAGTGCCTTTCAAACAAGGACATCACGAGGGCAATCAAATGAAGAAAGCTTGCCAGCCATAGGCAGTAACTGCATTTGCCAGTTCAATAATATCTATCTGCAAGCACCTTCAAACAGTAAGAATTATTTAAAAAAATCATAATGCTTCTTAAAAATCATAGAAACATGAAAATTCCTTAATTTATGAATTAATGTACCACTTCTTGGAGGAGACGTTATCCTACAAATTGTAGAAATATGGAGAAATTGTGACTTATCCTGTGGTTATAGTTGAGCAATAAGAGGCAAACTTTCAATACCATTGTTTTCAAGGCCACCACCATCAGTTAAAAAAAAATCGAAAGACCTCATGCTCAGCTTTAGCTCTGCCTGCTCTTTTTGAGCCCCTTCCCCTTTTCTCTACTTCTAGTCCTAGGAGAACGTTGTTCACAGGAGGCAGCCTTTCATTAATGCTCACTGTCAAGAAAAGAGACCTATAAATAACCCAAAGAAACAAAAACAGTAGCTTACAATAAAAATGACAGAAGCAATCTGTCCATCTGATTGGATGTAAAATCTCAAGAGGACTAGGATAAAAACTGGGGAGATCAACTGATGTGGTGTCTAGTATTATAAATAGCTCTGCTACATAGGTTGACATAGTTGAAAGACCAACTGCACTTCAGGAGCTAATTATAGAAACCTATAGGGCTGGGAGAAGAAAGAAAAAACAAAAGAAAGAAATCTGTAGGGCCACATTTATTGGTTGCCGGATATCTATTCCAGCTAAAACCTGACAAAACCAGGAAGACAGGCACAGGTGGGAAATGCTCAGGAAACTGATTAACCCCTAGTAGGGGTGGGGACCCAAATCTAGGTGATGGTCCAATTGCTGAAATGAGTTTTTCCTCCTGTCCTCCCTCCCTTCCTCCCTTTCTTTCCGTTTTTTCATTTAGTGTTGGGTAGAAGGTTGGGGTGGAGAGATGGTCAAAGAAGGGAATTATTTTCCTCTCAGTTACAGATAGGGGCTTTGCACTTTGTACACGTTTTTGGAAACGTTGTCAGCATGCCCAGAAACATGAAAAAGCCCAGATGGAAATGATCCAATTCCTTTGCTATCCCTTTAGTGGTTTTCAATGCCATGGGTGACTGGGTAGAGTGGGAAAAAAAAAAAAAAAAAGAAAGTCAAAGTCAAATTTGTTGAATGCGCTACTTAGATTGGGGTTCCCATTTCCCTAGCTACTCCGCACACACTCTCTTTCCTGCTGTATTGCCTTTCTCCAAAGGCTATAGTCTTGGTTTGGTGTGGTCACGGCTTCCAACCCTTTGGTGGAGTCAGTGGAGATGAGAAGCACTGCAATCACCCTCAAGGGGTTTACAGACTCGTATATGTACACCAAGCACTGAAAGAAGAATAAATGAATGTCTGTCTTTCTGCAAGGCGCAGTAGCTCAGGCCTGTAATCCCCAGCACTTTGGGAGACTGAGGCGGGCGGATCACTTGAGGCCAGGAGTTTGAGACCAGCCTGGGCAAGATGGCGACACCCTGCCTCTACTAAAAGTGCCCCAAAAGTTAGCCAGATATGATGCCACAGGCCTGTATTCCCATCTACTCTGGAGGCTGTGGCTGGAGAATCACTTGAACCGGGGAGGCGGAGATTGTAATGACCGAGATCGTGCCACTGCACTCCAGCCTGGGTGACAGAGCAAGATTCCTTTCCACACGCACACATAAATGGTCTGTCTTTCTAACGCACATACATATACTGCTACTTTCTGGTTTGTATCTTTAGTTTTGCTTACAAAATGGATTTAGGCTGTAGAATTTTCAAAGATGAGAGAAATGTGCCTTGGACTAGAAAGTGCAAATTTCTAGTAATTATTCCCTTCAAAGATAATGTTACCAACTTCTTTTCCTATTTTTCTAATTTATTGACAAACTGTTGGGTTAAAAAATATCAAGTGAAACCACCATGGCACGTGTATACGTATGTAACAAACCTGCACGTACTGCACATGTATCCTATCTGCACAAGTACCCCAGAACTTCAAAGTATATTTGAAAAAGTTATTTTACACATGGTTGCTTTCTGAGTATTTCTGAAGCTGCGAGTCAATTTTGTCCTTTTGAGTAAGGAGGAAACACGCAATACAGTCCTCCGTAGGGCGATGCTGGGGACAGGTTTTCTGAGGAGGCAGGAGGCAGTGACGACCACCAGCTCCTAGACGACCTCCGCTTTGATAAACAAGGAAACTCCCGCCCGCAGGCTATAAAGGAGGCACGAGCTTGGGGGAGGAGCCAGGGCGCCTGATGTTGCTGTTGAAAAAGGCCTCTTATTGGTGCTTCGCGCAGCCGCGGACCTTGGAATTCTGATTGGTCTGTTTTCCTGTCCGTAAGGGGATTGACGGTCCCTACCGCGTCAGGTCGCTCCTCTAGGAGCCGCGCTCCCTTCCTTGCGCGTGGGCGCCCGCCCCCGAGCGGTGAGAGCGCGTGCGCGAGCGCCGCTTTCCGTGGCGGAGCCCGCCAGTCCCGCTACACGCGTTTGCAGTCTGTGGGCCCTCCGGGAGGCGGCGGCGGTCACCGCGGGGAGGAGGGGCGGGGGCGGCATGGCAGCCTCCTTACGGCTCTTTGGAGCCGCCTCCGGTCTCCGGTACTGGAGTTGGCGGCTGCGGCCGGCAGCCGGCAGCCTTGCAGCGGGTAAGGACCTCGCGCCTCCTCCCCCTTGTCCTGCTTTCGGACGCTCGCTTCTTCTGTCCAGATGGCCGAAGAGGTGTTTTCATGGGAGACGCTGCGGTTGGGATGGGGCTTAAAAACCAAAATTTTGGCTCGTTCTAAAGGCCTGTCCTCTTCTGCTGTCGTCAGTCACTCCGCGAGTACCCTCCTCTGCCTTCCCTCCCTTTCTCCCTGGCTCCAGATGAGCGGGTCAGCGCCCTTATCGGGATTTAGGAAGAGGTGGGGAAGAACTTGGGGTAAAGGAGGGACTATTTGGGATCCCAGCGTGCTGCTTTGGAGTTAGGACTTCGAGGACGTTTGGAGGGCCCAAATCCAGGGGCAACCCCGCACTCACCCCCAGCCACCCCTGGCCTTTCAGCGCCCTGAGGGTGCACCTTGTGTGGGCACACTCTTCGGGCAGCAGGGCCTGATTTGATGTTTAACCACCTGAATCCGGAGGGATGGCCTTATTACACAGGCGGTCTGTACAAGCCAGGCAGTAAGTCGTTCAGCAAAGTTTGAGTCACCCTTGACCAGCAAAACGGGCTTTCCCCTGCTACTGTAACTGTGCTACCTAAAAAATGTTGCTTCTGTCAAATTATGAACCATACACTTTCAGCGTCCTCAAGATTATGGGCAGAATTGATCCTGCCTTCCTTCTCTCATGCCATTGTAAATTGTGGAGGCTAACCATGAGTTTAGGAAGAGGCAGTTTTTAGAGCCAGGATGAAGATCCACGGAGATCTAATACAGTCTTTCATGTTCTGCACGAGGAACATGAGGCCCCCTGGATAAGTGAATCGGGGTATCCCCAGCAAGATCTAGAAAGTGGTTCTCATTTCTTCCTAATTCCTACATTTTCTGTCATATAAGGACTTCTTTTTAATTGAAAAATTGGTTGATTTGTGGGGACGCTGCTGTTGTCTTCTATGAAAGTTTGAGAGTTGCAACAATGCACCACCGTTTAGGAAGACTCTACTGAGGATTAGCAAAAAAAACCTTGGCATTAATTTTTTCTAATCTTTGCTTAAAAAAACATAGCGGGTTAGGATTTGAGCCCCCACCCCCACTCCACCTTTTATTTAGAGACAGGGTCTCAATCTATTGCCCAGGTTGGAGTGCAGTGGCCCAGTCACACTGCTCCCTGCAGGCTCAACCTCCTGGGCTCAGGTGATCCTCCCACCTCAGTCTCCTGAGTAGCTGGGATTACAGTGATGTGCCATCACGCCCGTCCAGTTTTAGTATTTTCAGTAGGGACGGGGTTTCCCAATTGTTGCCCAGGCTGGTCTTGAACTCCTGGGCTCAGGTGATCCTTCCAAAGTGTTGGGATTATAGGCATGAGCCACTGTGCCTGGCCGGGAATTGTAAGAACTTTCTCTTACAATTCTTCACAGCTTTCCATCCTGCCCCTCATTGAAAACTCTGAATTCCCTTTCTGATTGGAGAAGGACAGAGGCTCCGTGAGATGCAAGAGAACAGATGTCTGGTACAGAACCACAGTAACAAGAAAAAAACTCACAGAATCTGCCAAACTTGAATGTAACCACTATTTGAGCTTCATATATTGAGCTACAAAAGTGCCTCCCACTGTGAAGATAACCTTAACAAGAAAATTAGACACTTTTCCGCAGAAGCACCAGTTTTCACATCAATTCTTTGACTTCTCATTAGCCAAGGAAGACTTATTTGCTGTTTAAGGGTTTTACAAGGTGTTCTAATGGTATTTTAATCAACCCTTGATGTACCTTTTAGAGTTATGAAAGTTCTTACCAATTCATGGTGGAAGAGGCTGAGGTCTAGGACTGTAATACTTGCCTCTCTAAATTGGGAGAGTCTACCTCACAGTGCTGATTAGACTACTCTGGCATATGGTCTTGTACTTTTGCCTCTTTGGCCCAAAAATATTGTAAGAATATAGATTTCTGATAAATTTTAAATAGTTCTTTCGTTATGCAGTGGCTAAATCTCTTCAATTGTTTTTCTCTGGAATTATTTTAAATATTTATATTTCCGTTTATTTTAGTTTACTGCAAAAGTGTTAACTTTTTTGACATTAGACTCTTAAAGAGTAGAAAAAAAAATCTACCTGCAAGTTTGGAGTCAAATGTCATTAAGAAAAAGAACCATGTTCAAATAGTAACATTATGTGATACTCTGAATTCTGTAGGATACTTGTAGTATATTTAAGATGTTTATGTCATACAGATAATATAAGGATCTATATAATTTATTTACTGTTTACAAAAAATGAAACCTAAAAGTTGCCCGTTAGTAGCACATCTTTTTTATTTCTTATGTTTTAGAGAAGGTCTCCCTGTGTTGACCAAGCAAGGGTGCAGTGGTACTTTCTTAGCTCACTGCAACCTTGAACTCCTGCACTTGAGTGATCTTCCACCTCAGCTTCCCAAGTAGTTAGGACCGCAAGAGTGCACCACTATACCTAGCTAATTAAAAAGATGTGTTTTTGAGACAAGGCTAGTTGCCTACTATGCTGGTCTAGAACTATGGCCTGAAGCCATCCTCTTGCCTTGACCTCCCAAAATGTTGGTTTTACAGGCATTAGTCACTGTGCCCAGCCTGCAACATCTTATTTATTTATTTGTTTGTTTATTTATGATGGGGTCTCTCTCTCTCTCTCTCTCTCGCCCAGGCTGAAGTACAGTGGTGCAGTCATGGCTCATTGCAGCCTCAACCTCTTGGGCTCAAGCAATCCTCCTGCCTCAGCCTCCCAGGTAGCTGGGACCACAGGTGCACACCACTACACCTTAATTTTTTTATTTTTACTTTTTGTAGAGATGGGGTCTCACCATGTTGCCCAGGCTGGTCTCGAACTCCTGGGATTAGCTGATCCTCCTGCCTCAGCCTTCCAAAATACTGAGATTATAGGCATGAGCCACTGTGCCTAAGCCTAAAAAGCATTGAAAAGGATATAGAAGAATTAGAAATATTAAATTGTACATATATTAGTATTTCATCACCTGTTTGATAAAATTAAATTTGTATGTTATTTTACAAGGTAATTAAGTTTAGTTTCAGATTTATTTGTACAGAGAAAAAAATATACAGGATGTAGGCCCTCTACAAAATGTCACATTGTGACTCTCCAACTTGTACATGGAAATATAAATCACATCAGATCATCCTGAAGTGACCACCTGACTAACGGTAGGATGGAAAAATTAGCATCATGCATAGAAACAGGAATATAATATTATTGGTCCTTTTTGTATATATGAAATTTACTTTCAGAGTAGCATAACTCATTGGATAAAGCAAATATATAATGGCAGTTTTCCCCTTTAGATTAGCTTCTAGGGCTGCACATGAAGTTCTGAAAAGCTGATCATGGTCCTGGGACTAAAACTTGACCTTAAACTTGTGAAATTATTTAAGGAGCGTATTTATTACTAAAATAAGCTGACTGAAACCATAAAGGACTTAATAGAGAAGGTCATCATCCTTAGTTTAGTAACTCTTAATAATAAAGCAGGTAGAGTGCTTATGATGTAGTATTATGTGATAAAATGGACATACATTGTACAGAAAATAGAACCTTATGATATAATGAAAAATGCAGTCCGAAGACTAAAAGTCCATGCAAAGTACTGTTTTTATTTTTGCGTAATGAGATTAATGTTTCTCATAACTATACTTTTTCATACGTTCTAGTTTTCTACAATGAATATGCATTATTGTGAATAGAAAAGAAGCTTCAGAAATGTAAAATAATTAACTTGTTACTAATTTTTGCATTTTGGCACTTAGTGAAACTTGATTTTTGGTAGCACTTGAGGTTATCAAGTTAACATGGATAACTCCCCATATTACATTGGAAAAAGGTCAAAATCAGTTACTTTGCATCTATAAATTCAGGAACAAACTTTGCCAAGTTTCTAGCTAGTTCTTTTTCCGTTGGTCCTCAGTAATGGACACTAATGCTAGTTTCTTAACCAGTCAACTAGTATATCACCTTTGTGTTTTGTTGATTGATTTTCTCCCAGCTTGGTTTTATTTATGTTTTAAGTCTACTTTTTCCACACATTACTGTCAGAAGTTATTTAAGAGAGATGCATTATTTAGGTTTGAAAGTTTTGAGGCAATAATTATTCCATTATACTCATGGATTTCTGCCTCTTTGGGTGCAAATTCTTTTATATTTGCCAAGCACTTTACTGGTGTTTCACTTTAAAAGCTTTCTTTCTCCAGATACAGGGCATCTCCACCTTTCTATCTCTTTGGCTCTTAGTTCTAACCCACGAGGCAAGAAAGGGCAGTTGGCATAGGACTTGACCTGTAGTGCTACTGCTTGACCACTTTTGGTAAAAGTAATACTATCTATCATGTGCCAGGCACTGTTTAATGCTTTACATGCATTATCTCAAGTAATCTTTACAATAACCTTCTGAAGTAGGTACTTTTGTTTATAAAACAATGTCTAGAGAACTAACTTGTTACTTGAATGGTATACCTCTAAGAGTAGGAACCCAGGCCTTCTCAACTTAGAGAAAATTTTAAACATTATCACCATCAATAAATAACCTCTTTTGACATCCGGTCATCTAATTATATTTTCCTTTCTTTAACTTTGCCACAGGCAAACATGAAATAAAGAGAGCTGAGCCCTTCTTTGAAAACTTTATCTTCTTTCACTTTGATGTTGGCCCATCCAACATGGCCTCGTTGTTCTTGACTGCTTCAGTTTCAGTAACAAACATCATCAGCACTCCAGCTTTTCTAGGATCTTATTAGTAGGAATGGTTCTCTTGCCAAGATTTCACCAGCAGATCTAGTTTTCTGGTTGATTTAAGTGCCTCGGTGATTCTTGTTCTAACATATTGTACTTAGTGCTTATCATTACACCTGGTCCTTTGACTCCCTCCCTTTTAAGTATGTAGACATGCTTTCTTGTTTCCTCATTTCTTTAGGTCTCTCTCTAGGTTTGTCTGTACCCAATCTCAAAGTTATTTATAATTAGGAATTTTGCTGATGGCTAATACTATTTTTCTCAATCTCTTGCTGTATTTCTGGATAAATCCATTGTTGTGGTCTGTTTGTGCCTTTCCCCAGCTGTCGCTTAGCTTAGTGATACTGAGAGTCACAGAAGTTTGCTGATTAGATACAATGCTTTCATTAATCTCTTGTTCATTCCCCATTACATTTTCAGATTTTCCACAGCATTTTCAGAACTTCAACTTAGGGCTGGCAACTCCTGAACCAGTCATTTGGCAGAAGGATGCCGTTACCGTGTATTAGTTTAGGCAGTTTGAACTTGACCTCGGATCTAGGGAAAAGAATATTGGAGAGTCAACCTGCAATATGTAATGATTACTGCAACACTGTTCACCTTTACACAATCTACTTTATCAGCATCATTACTTTGTAATTGCGTCTGAACTGGCTTTTATCCCCATTTGATGAAACTCACCTAGCTGGTTATTGATTCACATAATATGTATTAAATTTCACTTTATTTATTTCATTTTATTATAAAAGTAGTTACAAAAGTTACATGCTCATTGTAAAAAATGGAAACACTTATAAAATAAAAAGAATTTTTTCTTCAATTCAGACCCAGTAGACTAACTCTTCAGATGTAACTAGTGTTTATGTATCTGTACAGAAAATCAGAAAAATTACTGCCTATGTATCATTTTTTCTCCTCTTATACTGTATCCTATAATGTTCAGCATTTTGTGTGTTTTTTTTTTTTTTTTTACTTAATGACTTATCCTGGAGACTTTTTCCTATAATTTTAGATATAATTTGCACATTGCATTTGTGTTGATTTACTATGAATTATCAAGTGCCCTAAAGGTATATTTAGTTATGAATTAAGTGCCTTATTAGTATATATAATTAGTTATAAACAAAATGCCTTGTTAATATAGTTACTTGCAGTTTTTGGCTGTCACAAACAGTACTATAAAAAAACTATATCTTTGTGTTGTTCAGAATTTAATACATGGTAGGGATTGCTATGGCCCATAGTTGGGCACCTTTTTTGTAAATAAAATTATATTGGAATATAGCTATATCCATTTGTTTGTGTGTTGTCTGTGGCTGCTTTTAAACTAGAGTAGATGAATGGAATAGTTATTACAGAAGCCTTATGGCTCACAAAGCTGAAAATAATTTACTGCCTGACCCTTTAAGAAAAAGTTGGCTGGCCCCTTATGTGTAGGATATATTCCTAGAAATGGAATTGCTCGGTCAAAGAGTATGCATGTTTTAAATTTAAATTTTAAATAAAAGTTCAAATGTAAATTTTTTTTGCCAGATTACCGTCCAAAAGGTTGACCTAATATACAATTTGACAGTATATGAGAGCCTATGTTTTCATCAGTTGTTTCTTACCAGGAACAGTTTTTATCAAAGAAACAAATAAAACTTATTGAACAGGTAAAAAATGGTATCACATCATTTTTTTTTTTTTTTTGCATTTCTCTAATTATGACAAGTTGGGTATATTTTTAGAGGTTTCTTTGGGGGTAATTTACATATTTTCTGTTGTGATTTTTGCCTACTTTAAAAAATCACATATTCATATTTTTCTTTTACATTTTAAAGTTATCTTACATATAAAGCAAAGTAGCCCTATTTTTGTCATGTGTTAGAAGTATTTTTCTTAGTTATTTGTATTTTATCTGCTTGAGATATTTCTTTCCTATCTTAGAGATGCTAAACTTTATCCCCGTTTTATTATAAAAAATATGAAGCAGAATAATATAACTGACATCCATATACTTTCCTTAGAAACGGCAGTTGTTAATTTTGCCACATTGACTTTTTTTTTTTTTTTTTGGGGGGGAGGAAGGCAGGAAGGAAGGGAAGAAGGACGGTAGGGAGGAAGGAAGGGATGAAGGAAGGAAGGAAGGGAGGAAGCGGGGAGGGAGGGAGGGAGGGAGGGAAGGGAAGAAAGGAAACCAAGCAATGAAAGAGACATTGCCAACCTGGATCTAGAGGTTTACAAGTTGATTTCTTTTTTTTTGAGAGAAGGAAAGAAAAAAAAAAAAAATAAAGGAGAGGAAGAAAGAGGAAGAGTAAGAGGGAGAGTATATGGAAATATTGCTTTATTTTGAAAAAAATTGGGTATTAATAATGGCCAATGTTTCATTTAAACTAATGGGTAGGTGTGATGTGGTATTAACAAGAATGTATATTTTGTGTATTTGAAGTGGAGAGCTCTATAAATATTTATTAAGTTTACTTGTTCTGGATCTGAGTTCGAGTCCTTGATATCCTTATTAATTTTCTGTCTCATTGAATCTAAGTCTCCTATCTGCGTGTTAGGATCGTTAGCTCTTGTTGTTGCATTGATCCTTTTACCGCTATATCTTTGTTGCTTTAAAATCTATTTTATCCGATACAAGAATTGCAACTCCTGCTTTTTATTTATTTATTATTTATTTTTGCTCTCCATTTGGTTGGTAAATCTTTCTCCATCCCTTTGTTTTGAGTCTTTGTGTATCCTTGCATGTGAAACAGGTCTGGATGTAACATGCCGTTGGGTTTTGGCTGTGTCTTTTGATTGGGAATTTAGTCAATTTAAATTTAGGGTTACTGCCATTTGATGTTGACTGGCTGTTTTATCCATTTGTTGGTGTAAATTCTTCTTAATGTTGGTGCTCTGTACTTTTTGGTGTATTTTTAGAAAGGCTAATACTGGTTGTTTCTTTCTGTGTGTAATGCTTCTTTCAGAAGCTCTTGTAAAGCAGGCCTGGTGGTAATAAAATCTCTGAGTTCTTGCT